TTGGAAAGATGTCAAGGGGCCATTTGTGAGACCCAGAGCTGCCCCTGCAAAGGACCTGACCCCCTCCTCAACCCAGGCCCTGCCACCAGCCCCAGGCACGAGGAAACTCACAGAAGGCAAAGAGGCTGAGAAGGATCCCAGCTCCCCACTTACTATGTGGACTTGGATCCTCCCTCCGGGTCCCCAGTACTGTTTCCTCACCCATAAAACTGGAATGCATTATGGGTTTAATTACATCCCCCCAAAAGATATGCTGAAGTCCTAACCCCTAAGAATAGGACCTTATTTGGAAATGAGGTCTTTGCAGATGGAATTTGTTAAAGTGAGGTCAGGCTGGAATGGAGTGAGCCCTAAATCAGAAGGCCGTCATCCTGCAAGAGGAGGGAAATGTGGACTCGGACAAGGAGGAAAGAGACCATCATGGGGAGATGGGAGCAGAGAACTGAGTGACACAGCACAGGCCAAGGGACACAGGGGGCCAGCGGAGGGTCAAGAGTCTGGGAAGGACCCTCCACCCTTCTCCAAGTGGCAGAGGGAGTGTGGTCTCTCAACACCTTGATCTCAGACTTTGGGCCTCGAGACTGAGAGAGAATATGCTCCCACTGTTTTTAGCATCCCTCTGTGGCACTTTGTTTGGGCAGCCCCAGGTCATGGATGATCCCCGTCTCCACGCACAGAGGCTCCCAGGGTCCACGTCTTCAGGGACCCCCTCAAACGTCTTGTGGCTGCCTCTGACGTGCTGGAGCCACCACTGCTGATGGAGAACAGTAGACAGGGAAGAGTGTGTGTGTGTGTGTGTGTGTGTGACTCCACCAACTGACCATCGAGAATGCCTTGTCCCCAAGACCTGGGACGTGAAGGACCCCACCCAGTCAGCCCCACTGTGTGTGTGTGTGTGTGTGACTCCACCAACTGACCATCGAGAATGCCTTGTCCCCAAGACCTGGGACGTGAAGGACCCCACCCAGTCAGCCCCACTCACTTCTATGAGCCAGAAGCCTTGGCCAACAAACACTACTCAGAACCTTCAAACTCCTCCAACCTCAGCACTGGGGCCTCGGAGCCCCCACTCCTCCACCCAGACATCGGTGCAGAAGCACAGCCGAATCGTGCATCTTGCGCCAGGTTCTTTCGAATCAACCCACCCCTACTTCCACCTCTAGCCGCCCCCCGTCTGCTGACATTTGGACCCCAGAGCTAATTGCAGGAGCTTCATGTTGAAGGAAGCCACTAGCACACTCTCGCTCGCGTTTTACGACTTTATAACTCACCAAATAAACCTGATTCCTATAACCATAAAACAAAGCCTGAACGAGTTGGACCTGTCCCAGGCAGGAGGAGCAGGAGGGGGTGGGAATTGCCGGAGGGGGCTCTCCGCGGCAGAGCCTCAGCTCTCTGGGTGGATTTCAGCGCCGCAGTCTTGCGGAAACTTAATATTCCAATCAGCACCCAAGCAAGGCATTAGACGCGAAGGAGAGCATGAATACCCCCATAGCTGGGGGAATATTACTCACCAGGTCATGGTCGGCTGCGTAAAATACAACCCTCATATATCATTATAACTGCCAGCCAACGACAGTTATAATTGAGACGGCAATAACTAGGAGAGAGTTCTTTAATTTAACATCCAATTATTACAAGTTATCACTTCTTAATAAATGTAATATAACAGACAATCAATGTTGCATACGACGGCCCAGGCTGCAAGAGGATGGGAAATTTATATCCTGGGGAAAAAAATATACTCTGTGGTGTGCGTGTGTGTGTGCGTGCGCGTGCGTGCCCAGCTCTGTGTGTATGTGTGTGTGTGTGCGCGCGCGCATATGTGTGTTCAGCTTTCTAAGTCTGCAGCGGCTGTGATAAGTGTAGCAAGACTCAGGCTATAAATAGCTGAATTTGCCTCAATAGCTGACATCTCCAAATTTGCATATGTACAATAGCTCCAGGCCATGGGAGAGGAAAGACTAAGAGAAAAAAGATTCCTTCTCCCTGGTGCAGTCTGAGAAACAGCAAGAAGAGGCAAAGCCCCTGTGGCCTAGCAGGCCCCAAAGCCCAGAGCTCCAGGTGGGGAAATCACCATGAATCTGACTTGCCAGAGCGATGTTTTTTAAATAAATTCTTTTTGATGTAGGACCCATATACAGAAAAGTGACTGTGTGATGTGTAAGCAGCTTGATGACTTTCTACAAGGTGGATACCGTGGAGGACCCAGCACCTGTGTGAATCAGTACAGGCAACTGGCACCCTGGAAACTTCCTGTGTGTCCTCCTTTTTCAACACCTTGATAGGCCCCCTCCTGATCCCCACCTCCCTTGGCTGCCTGCTCTCCAGGGTTTAACTTTACATAAATGCAATCACACTGCACAGGGGGTTCTCTTTTGTGTCTGCCTTCTTTTACTCAATCTTATTTTGTGACATTTCTCCATGTTGTTGGGTGTTGAAGTGATTGATTGATTGATTGATTGATTGATGTAATACTGAGGATTGAACCCAGGAGTGATTTTTCCCTGAGCTATATCCCTCCACCCTTTTAAATTTTTTAATTTGAGACAAGGCCTCTCTAAATTGCCCGGGTTGGGCTCCAACTTACAATCTTCCTGCCTCAACTGCCAGAATAGCCGGGATTATGGGCATGCGACACCACAACTAACTCATTTGTATTTCTAGATAATATTCACCTGTGTAAATATGCTCAACTTCCACATGCATCCTAGACTTGGTGGACATTTGAGTAGTTTGCAGTTTGGAGACTCACACACACACACACACACACACACACACACACACACACACTCCTGTGAACATTGTCTTGCATGTCTTTGGGGAGCAGGCAAACATTTTTACTGGACCTGTGGCCAGGAGTGGAGTCACTGGACTGTAGGGTGGGTGCATCTATAGCTTTGGAAGACAGGGACAGACCACTCTCCAAAGTGACTGTAGTATTTTGCATCCCTACTAGCAGCCTATGAGACTTTCAGTTGCCCTGTGTCTTTGTCAACACTTGGTATTATCAGTTTTAGGGTCTTAACCACCTCAGTGGGGGTGGGTCTCAGTGTGCCATGACTGGCATTTTCCTAGAGATATATGAAACTGCACCCTTTTTTGTGTGCTCACTGACAATCTGTGTGCCCTCTTTGGGGAAGTGCTAAGTCATGTGTGTTTACACATTTTCTTTTGGGTCCTTTTGTTTTGTTTTGTTTTTCTCTTACTGTAGATACAGTTTATCAATTGTATGTAGCACAAATACTTTTCCCACCTTGAGGCTTGCCTTTCCACTGAGAAAGAAACGTCGCAAAGTTGTAACAGAGTCTCATTTGCAGGCCTTTGTTTTTTTTATGATTAGTTTTTTTTTTCTATATAGAATTTGGTAACAAAATTGTGATCATTTTTAAAATATCAAGATGGGTTTCAGCTAAATTTCCATAGTTTGGGAAACAAACGGTTTGGGACACTTTGGTTTTGTTTTCCTCTCTGTTTCTGCCCACCCTGCCCCCGTACCTCCACACCAAGCCCAAGATTCAGTTCAGGGGCGGTTGGTTCACACACCCCACGTCCCCCACCCATCATCCACCCATCCCTTCGTTCACTAACTGATGTACCTATCAGGCTCAGCAGGGAGAACTCGAGGCATGTGTTGACACTGTGCCTGACACTGAGAAATACAAACCCAGAAGAAAACACAGGAGAAAATTCTTAGTGACCTTAAGTTTGGCAAAAAATTTTCTCAGGATATAAAGAGGTCTAAAGTGCACGAACTATATAACTAAAAAAAACCAATATATTGGACCTAATGAAAATGAAGTAATTTTATTTTTCAAAAGACACTGGTAAGAAAGGCTGAATGAGAATAATAAAATATAAGGATGTTCCTGAAAGTTTAGGACATGATACCATGGCACCTGCCCACTCCCACACAATCGGTATCTGAGTCCTGTTATGGCCCCAGGCATCCCTGTACCCTCAAGGGGCACCAAAGGCTAGAGGACCCGCACAGGACATTGTGGACAGGGATGCTGTAGAACAAGTGCAAAGGTTGTAAGAGCTGGAGGAAAAGACCAGGAAGGCTTCCTGGAGGAGGTGATGTCTGAACTTGGCCTGGGGGGATAAAAGCAGAGAGAAATCAAGGGCAAGGTGGTGGGATAGAGGTGGCAGGTTCTGGAACAGTCATTGTCAGATGCAGGGGAGCACCACTTGGAAGGGGAAGGGGCAATCTGCAGAGTAGGTGCCCACATCTGGGTCTTGGTGGGGTCAGAGAACCCCAGAAAGTTTTGGATGTCAGGCTGCAGGTGCTGGGGGACACTGGGAAGACGAAAACATCTTACTGGCTAAAGAGTTAGCACACTGCAAATAAAAGGAGGAGTCTCCAGGTGCAGTGGCATATGCCTGTAACTCCAGCTAGGTAGGAGGCTGGGGCAGGAGGATCACAAGTTCAAAGCCAGCCTGGGCAACTTAGAAAGACCCTGCCTCAAAATAAAATTTTAAAAAGGCTGAAGTAGCACAGTGTTTGCCTAGCATGCGTGAGGCCCTGGACTCAGCCCACAGTACCGCAAAAAAAAAATAAAAATAAAAACAAAAGCAGGTGATATTCCAGAGCTGAAAGTTGGAGTTTAGGGGGCTGGCTTGGATTGTGACTGCGTGGTTAGAGCCGAACTGGGCCTCCTTTCGATGGCCACTTGCCCACGACTCTCTGTCCCCGCCCTGTTCTATGGATTCCGTTAACTCCTGGGTCCCTCTCAGCCCGGGGTGGGGTGGATTAAATCGCCTCCCCCGCGGGAGCAGAGGTCACCAGCAGGAAAGGGTCCATGCCAGGACGCAGGCCCAAGCATGTGGTTGCCTGACACTGCCTGCCAGGGGGACTGCTGTGACAGTCCTGGGCGCTGACAGAGTACCACGCACGGTACACCGAGCAGGGCATCCCCGAGCACTGCCTGCCATGGATAAGCGCGGGCTGAGCTCCACCCTGCTCAGAAGCCTGGATTGTGCCGTCACAGTCCTGCAGACCCAGCCATACCCACGGCCAGGGAGCGCAGCAAGGTCCGAGGGAGCACCTTGGACATCAAGGCCCAAGAGAGCAGCAGGACAGACCCACCCGAGCGCAGCGGGAGTTACCCGAGCAGAGACGCTTCCCAAGGATGGACTGGTACAGCGAGGGTCCGCTCCGCGCATGCGTGGCACCTTGACTAGAGACGCATGTCTGAAAGGAGGTCGAAGCCCAATGCCGGGGCACTGAGGGTGGACTGGGCCTCTGGGCTGTCTTCTCGGCTTGCTGTGTGCTTCTGCGGTGGGTGGAAAGAGTGAGCTGGGGCCTCTTCATCCTCCTGGCAGAACACTAGTCCCACAAGAGCAAGGCCCTTTCCTGTGGCCTCCTTGGACCCTCAGGGCTTCCTGAGGGCCACATCCACGTGCAGTCACAGCGGAGGCAAAGGGTCCACAGGGAAGCAGTGGGGGAGGAGAGGGGCCTGGGGAAAGACAGGGTTTGGGGAACCAGGGTGGCCAGGCAGGCTGTGACCGACAGCGCCTCCAGCGCCCTGCTCCTGGCAGGGCGGTTGGAAGCACCCGCAGTGACCTTATGGGACGTCTGAAGCAGCTAAGAGATCTCTGCTGCGAAGATGAAGTTTACAAAGAAAAACTCTGTATTGGTACTCATAATTAACGACCCTTTGCCAGAAAGATCTTCGGATGAGTAAAATCTGGTTGCCACAGCTAGAACACAGCTCAATAAACCTCAGTCAAATGTCTTTGTTTTGTGCTTAGCAGAAGGGAATACCAGAGAGGGGAAGGCACTTGCCTCTGGTCACACAGCCCACTCAAATCAAAGTCCTCTGACTGCATGTGTAGTGTTTATTTCTGGAGTTCAAAGGGAGAAATGGCTGATGGACATGGTACATACAGCCACAGTCAGAAAGCCAGAGGAAAGCACTTATGAGTGTGAGACAGCACTGGCCTCAAGACCTAAGGCAAGAGCTGTCAGCACTTCGGGGACAGAGGATGGGAACAGCTGTGCAGGTTGCGTACTGCGCAAAAATCCCCAAATGAAGATGTGACCGGAAGCTAAAACCCACTCCCACTCTGTGACAGCCATGCACACTGGCAGAGGGCTGTGCTGTTTTCTTGAAGGCATCGGAGCTTTCTAGTTTTTAGGTAGGTTACTTGTAGACCAGCAGAGAGTCTTTGAGAGAACTGATTTGGGGGGCAATTGCTACACGCTGGGATCTTGTGGGAATTCTCACGTTCTCTCAGTCTTCTGTGACCAACTCTGCTATGGGGATGGGGAAACTGAGGCTCAGATTACTGAAGGGTTCATCACAGAGCCAGTGGCACCGGGCTTAAGGGGCTGTGCCTCAGCAGAGAGCTTGCAGGCAGTGCCTCACCCTCTGGTCACGGTGTGATGCCCTCTTTGTCCCCATGCTGGAGATGGAGCTCCGAGGGGTTCATCTTCCCAGGCCACCAGACGGGGCCATCCTCTCCTGTGCACATGGCTTCTGGGGTGGGGCGGCTTGCTGTCAGGGTGGACCCACCACCTCCCACCAGTGCCCCTCTGCAGATAGAAGGTCCTCCGTCTCCCCAAGTGCAGGCTGGGGTTCCCAGCTCAGCCAGGCAGCCACTCCCTCACCCCGCCCCTGAAGGCGGAAGGCGGGGTGCCGGGGCGCGCAGCAGCCGGACGGGCAGACTTCAGGGCTCTCTGCCAAGGGAGGTGTGATCTCCCGCCCTGCTTGGCGGCCTGGAGTGTGAGCTGCACGCGCCCCACTCCCAACATTTGGCCATGTTTTTCCCTTTCTCTGATGCTGCTCCAGCGCCTGGCAGCGAGGCAGTTGGCTGTTGGTGAGGGGAGGGAGAGTAGCTGCTCATGCAGGGGGTGAGGAAGGGAAATCTGGGGCTGGGAAGAGGGAAGCGGGTTCTGGAGCAGACCTTGCACTCTGGGTGGGCAGATGGATGGACAGACAGACCATCATGAGGAAGCAGACTGTCTGCGAGGAGCAGGCTGAGGACAAGCACACTGTCTCCCTCGCACAGGTCCCTGTGTCCTGCAGCACCTTGGTGATCACCCGCACCTTCAGGTCGTAAATACCTGTGTCCCTGTGAATGCCCTCAGGGTCGTGAACCTCCCAGGTCTGGAGTGGCAGCAGCTGGGCACAGGGTGGGACGTGGAATAGATGGGACACAGTGGAGAAGGCAGGGGAAGGGAAGGATGCAAAGCAGGAGAGAAGATGGAAGCAGGGGAGGGAAGCAAGGGAAACTGAGTCTCCTCAAAACGATGGGACATCAGACCCGCAGTGCAGAGCTGTCCACTGCTTCCTCCCAGCCTGGCCTCCCTGGCCCCTGCATGTGCACAGAAAATTGGGCCAAGGTCACCTCCGGGAGTTAACTGAGGGAACAGAGGGTATCTTCTGGGGTGTGGAAATGCTCTCAGCCTCAGCCTGGGGGTTTCCGATGTGTGGGTTCTGAGAAGTCATATGCTGAAGATTGACAGAGTTTGCATATATGCTGCTATGCGTGTGAGTTCTATTTATGTAAGTTCAATCCTCTTTTACATAGAAAACACAGCAGAGAGGTGGGTGCAGGGAAGGAAGCTGGCTGGCTGCTGCCATGCTGTGGGTATGGCTCAGGTGCCCCCTAAAGCTCCGCGTTTTAGAGATCTGCTCCCCAGTGTGGCCACGTGAGCAGTGGTGGGAACTTTACGAGGTCGAGCCTCATGCAAGGTGATCAGATCACTGAGGAGCATTAAGGTAGTGCTCATGGGACACTACTTGGTTCTTCTGAAAGGTTGTTACAGGAAAACCCTTCCCAGTTATTCTCTGGCTTCTGGTCTTGCCATGCCATGGATCTCTGCCCCTGTGATACCCTCTGCTCTGACTCCCACAGCTGGGGAGGAGTCTCACCAGAATGCGAACCATGCCAGTTGGCTTTTCAGACTCCTGACTGTCAGCTCAATACACCTCTTTGTGTTGCAAGTTTTTGGTACTTTTGTTATAGCAATGGAGGAGGCAGTGATACAGATGGAGGGATGGATGAGCGGACAGAGGGCAGATGCTCATGCAGTCAGCATTTTGGGACAGTTGGTGAGTGCCAGGCTCTGGGCTATTATGGGGGTGCAGAGACAAATGAGTCCTGGCCTCTGCCTCCAAAGAGCCCACACTCAGCCTGGAGATAGGTGCCCACAGGTGTCATGACAGACAACAGTGGGTAAGAGAGGAGGGTTGGCATGAGAGGAGAGAATGTGTTTTCCTAGAGCCATTAGACAAGTGGATTGAATAAAGACGGAAACAGATGAAGCGAGGATGGCACAACAGGAAGATGTGTGAAAATAGAGGCTGGTGAATGGCAAGTGGGCTGGTGGATGGATGGACAGCTGGGTGGGTGGATGGATGGAAAAAATGGATGAATAGATGGATGGATGGATGGATGGATGGATGGATGGATGGATGGATGGATGGATGG